AGAAACTCTTTTTTGTCAAAACAAAATTTATTTGGATTTTTTGCCAAAAAACAATCCTGAAATTATTTTCAAAAAATATTTTTTAATTAATTTATTTCCATACTTTTACACAAACACCAAATTCACTAGCAGTATTAATTATCTAAAATGCTAAAAATAAAAATTGGAAATTAAAAAAAAATAATTTTTAAAATATTTTTTAATTAAAAAAATAATTATTTTTACCTTCCTAATAGGCCCATCTAAAATTAAATTTATTTTTATTTTTTAATTAAAAATAGCTCCAAACCAGTTAAACTTTTTGTAAGTTGTTTTTGTGTCTTTTCTATTTTCTCTACTCCAAGTCGAAACAATTCTGTTATATTTACTTTTGGAATTTTTTTATCTTCAAAGTTGGGTAGGCAACTAAAAAAATTTTTTAATAGAAAATCAGAATTGTAAAAGGAAAATTAAATCAGAATTTTTGATACGAAATAATTTTTATAATCGGAATTTTGTAAGTAATTAAAAATTTCCGGAAAATACATAACTTAATAATTAAACACAATTTCCGGAAGAAATTATTTTTTTATAAATCAGTCTTCCGGAAACACATACAATGAAACACAATCAATTAAAAACAAAATTTCCGGAAAACACAATTTCTGAAATTCTGATTTCAAATTATACATAATTGTATGTGTTTTTCTAAAATATTTTAATTAAAATTTTTCCGGAAAACACATATAAGTATAATTAAAAATCAGAATTTCCCCCGAATACATAATTTCCGGAAAACACACAAATAATATTAATACCCCTAACACATAATTTCCAGAAGACAAATAATTCATAATTATAATGCAAAATTAAAACTAACGAATCCACATTGTCTTCAAAACATTTTATAAAATTTTCTAAAAATACATTTTTTTTAAATTAATTTTGTATTTTTCAATACCAATTATTGCATCAGCCCTACCAAAGCATACTCTCAATTTATCTGGGTGAACAGTAATTTTTGCTTAAATAATTTATAAATTAATTTTATTTTATTTAAATTAATTAATTACAAAACATATTCCAACAAGTATCAATACACCCCATTGCTTGTTCTTGCATTTCAACAATACATGCACGTTGTTCTTTATTTAAAAATAATTTTATAAAAAAATTATTTAATTAACCAGCACATGTACATTGTCTAATTTGCCCACCAACTATTTTTGCTTCTTCAATTAAAGCTGTACCTTGACGAGTCCACTAAAAAGAAGAATAAATGTGCTTCATGTTTTTTTTCGATAAATTCCCCAAAATTTAAATTTGTCTCACCTGGTCGATTACATCTTCGCTTGAGTGTTGGACGTAAATTATTAAAAAAAGGAAAAATACAAAAATTCGTTCCCAGCAGAGAACATTATAAAAATGAAGCAAGTTCATTTCTGCTAATTTTGGGATCTTTTAAATTAAAAAGTAAGGAAAAATAAAAAATAATTAAACAGAATTTATTCAATAAAAATTATTTTTCCAAAATTGGTTTGTTTATTATGTATTTATTTTTCCGGAAAAGTATATATGTATTTCTTTGTGTTTTCCGGAAAATATATAAATATTTATAAATCAGAATTTTTTGTATTTTCTGAAATACATTTAAAAATCAGAATTTCTTTTAATTTCCGGAACATTTATATCTGTGTTTTCTGTAATATTTTTAAAAATCCGAATTTCCTTCAATTTCAGAAAAATATAGTATAACCAGATTTATTTATGTTTTCCGGAATAACTTTAAAACCAAAGGAATTTATTTCCAACTACTATCAGAAAAGAAAGAAACAAACAAATAAAATGAGGGAAAATAAATTTATATTTTAAATAGGCAAAGTTTTAATTATTTTTTTTCATATTGTTTTTGTTATTTGGTTTGTCTTGATTGTACACATTAAAATTTTTTTTGCGCAGCAATGATTGTGGAGAAGAAAAAGATGAGAAGAGAAAAGGTGATTTAATGTTAAATTTTGGTATGTGCGAAGAAAATGACTGCGCAATTTTTATTTTGTGACAGTTTAAGAGGACGAGAAGAGGTGAAAAATAGAAAAAAGAAAGAAATTTTAGTTGTTGGGGGGAGCGGCCAAGCTCTCTCAAAAATTAAAATTGCAACTGAAATGTTGGAAAATGTTGTGTGGAATAAAAAAAAGAAAGGAGTAGAGGAAATTTTAAAATAAGAGAGTAATTAGAATTATTTTGTGTTTTCCGGAAAAAATCAGAATTTTTTGTGTTTTCTGTAATAATTTTAGAAATCAGAATTATTTGTACTAAATTCTGGAATGTGTTTTCCGTAATAATATATATTATATGCATTCCGGAATATATTATCCGGAATATGCAATAATATAAATGTTTGTGTTTTTCCGGAATATAATTATTCTGTGGTTTCTATTTGTTTCCGGAATATTAATAAAAATCAGAATTATTTCCGGAAAAAAGTACAATTGTATATTCAATTCCATGTGTTTTCCAGAATTTTATTAAAAACCGATAAAAATCAGAATAAATATTTTACTTGTTAATAAACTATTAAATTTAAAATCAGAATAAATTTAGGTATGTAGAATAAAATAATTTAAAGAAACAAATATTTTTTTAAACTAAACATAGTATTTAATTAAATAAACTAATTTATTGGTAAAAATTTTATTCAATCAATTTTGCTTTTTTTATTGCGCGTTCAGAGGTTCACGGGCAATTGCACAAGTGAACGGCAAATTTTTAAATTTATTATCATTAAGACAAATTATGAGGAAGAAAAATAAAATTTTAGTAAAAAATTAAAAAAAATATAAAAAAAATAATTTTTGTTTTTGCAATTATTTAACTTTATTTTTATTTTAAAAATAAAGATTAAAATTTAATTTCTTGAAAAATAAAAAAAATAAAAATTATTTTCTGCTAATTTTATTTTTGTTGCAAAAAAAGAATAAAAAATATATATAAAGTAAATATTATAAAACTAATTAATTTTGTAAAGCATATAGCTATTTAATTCCTAAGGCTGAGCAGTAGGCGGCGTGGTGTAATGGCTAACACATCAGTCCGGTCTACTGAAGATGCTGGTTCGCTCCCAGCCGCCGAATAACCTTTTGCACTAGCTAAAGGAGAGAAATAGCTATAGCCCAGCTGCTTTACTATTTTTAAATAAAAATCAGAATTAAAAATCAGAAGAAAATACATTATTGTTTTCCGGAAGTTTAAATTAAAATATGTTTTCCGGAAAAATTTTAATTTTAGCCTTCAAAGAACAGAATATATTTTTATAAAACACATTAATAAAATACAAATATTTTTTCTGAAAGTATGATTAAAATATTTGTGTGGGGGAGCGCAAAAATTGTTTATTTTTTGTATAATGCATAATAGAAGCAACAAATCCTATTGTTAAAATCCAAACATATTTGTGTAAAAATCTGTTAAATATTTTATTTTATTGTATTTTTATCTTTTTTGGACAAAACACAATTATGATTATCAGAATATTTAGAACAACAGAATATTTAATTAAAATCAGAATTTCTGGAAAATAGAAAAACCAGAATTTTTACATCAGAATCTCTGGAAAATAAAAACCAGAATTTTTAAATCAGAATTTTTTTTATTGAAAAAACACAAAAACCAGAATTTTTTCAGAATATTTATTTAAAATCAGAATTTCTGGAAAATAGAAAAACCAGAATTTTTTCAGAATATTTAATTAAAATCAGAATTTCTGGAAAATAAAGAAAACCAGAATTTTCTAAATCAGAATTTTTTTTTGAAAAAACATAAAAACCAGAATTTGGATTATTTAAATTTTAAAATAATTTGTAAATTGAAAATGTAATTTGTAAATACAAAATTATCAAAACATTTAAAGGAAAACACAAACTTTTATTTATTGCAAAATTTTCTCTTTCCTTCTAAAAAGGTAAAAGCGTTCAATTAACTAACAACTATATTTCCACCTTCCCCCAATTCCAGGCCTTAAAGAATAAATAAAAACAGGATTTTGAAAATAAAATTTCTTTTTGGATGACTGTTTTTTAAAGTCAATAAATATAGAAAAATTAATAAAAAAAATTTTTTTGCAACAAAAAATAAAAAAAAACAGGTTTTTAAAAGTACTTTTAGCTTATCAATTTATTTAATATTTTTTATCAACACAACAAAGTTTGTTAATATTATTTAGTTACTTTGTTGGTGGCCAAGTAGTTCATCAAATATAGACAAAAAATAGAACGCAACAAAAACTGTTTTTAGTTAATTAAATATTTAGTAGTTAATTGACTTGTCTTCTAAAAGTCTGCAAGTTTTATCCGCAAATTTTAATTTTATTTTGCCAAAAAATATTTTTAAAAAACTGTTGGAGAGTACTTATATACTAGGGATGTACCTCGACCGTGTTTAAAACCGAAAATTTTTATATTTTTTGTCAAAAATTAACCGTGAAACTTCTGAAAATGAGTGATTTTATTAAAAATTCCCTCAAAATAAAACTGGTATTTGTCTAAAACTCAAAATCAAACTAAATTTTGGATTAACCGAAAACTGGAGGTAACGGTTAATAACCGGTAGTGAACAACCTTAGTTTATACCGGGTGTAGAATAAATTGTATAACTTGTGGACTAAATGTACTTGCGGAGAGAGGGCATAAAATGAAAAAAATTCTAGAAAGTATGAATTAATCAAAATAATAATTTTAAATTTTATACAATTTTTCATTTAAATTTATTTCTTTTATTTAAAAAAAAATTAAAGTAAATTTTAAGTTAAAAATGGGATTTGATTGTAATTAAGGTGGCCAATTCCAAAACACCAAATGATGGCTCTCAATATAATATGAGGCGAAAAATTTAAAAAACGAGCTTCTATATGAAGCTGTGTTTCGGAGGCCAACTTAAACTTTTAATTAATTAATTAATTATATAATTTTTAATTTTAATGAGAATTTGGTGGCTGGGATAACATTGAATTTCCCCCTCCCAAATAAGGGGGGGGGATAAAGTTGTTATAAAGTTGTTTTCACAAGATAAAGTTGTTAATTTGTTGGGGAATTACCCTAAAATACAGGTTTATATTGAAATAATTAAAAAAATTTTTTTTAATTTTTTCACAGCTCGCTTACCTTCACCGTCTACAAGCTAGAGGGGAAGGAATGTCTTATTCTAATCGACTTGTTAAATTATATGTAATTATTTATTTATTAAATTAAAAAATATTTAATTAAAATTTATTTTAAAGGCTGATCATGACCGTCCTTCATTATTGCCTTTTCTCAGGAAAAATGAACATTATAAAATAGACTTGGCATTGGATGTTTGCAAAAAAAGAGAATTTATTGAAGAGGTTTTTTTTTAATTTTTTAAAATTTGAAATTTTTTGACATTTTGAAATTTAGCATTTTGAAAAAATTTTTTGAAATTTTTTTAAAAAAATTTCTTTAGGTTGTCTACCTTTTAGGACGTACTGGAAATCGTTTAGAAGCTTTAGATTTAATGGTAAATAAATTGTTAAGAATTGATATGGCTATCGACTTTTGTGCTGAAAATGATGATTATGAACTTTGGGAACGTTTAATTGAATCTTCAATTAAAAGGCCTGAACAAATTGTTATTTTGTTAAAAAGAATGGCTTGTTTAAATATTGATAGTATTAGTGTTGTTGAAAAGGTTTTTTTAATTAAATATTCTTTAAAAATCGGAACTTTTGACGTTTTTAAAAAATTTCTTTAGGAAAATTAAACAGGCTTATTTGTTGAATTTTGGTTATTAATTGGGCAAAAAACCTTGAAAGGACTCAAACTTCTGCTCCTATTCGTAACGGACCCACTTAACCATGGAACCTTGGGAGACCCTTCGACTCTCTCAAAAACGAAAAGCACTTGACCAATGATTATTTAAATGAAAAAATTTAAAAAAATTTAAAATAGAAACAAATATTTTTTTATTAAAAAAATTATTTTTTAATTAAAATTAATTCTCTTTCAATTAAAAAGATACCAACAAATATGGATATACCTGATTTACAAAATTGTTTACTTCAAGTAATTAGAGATCATGAACAACAAAGGGATTTATTAATACATTCAAAAAATGTAGCTAATTGTGATGTTTTAAAATTATTAGAATTACAATTGAAACCTTTAGCTATTAATTTTGAATTATTAAATAAATATGAAGAAGAGGAAGAAAATAATAATAATGAGTGTTTTTGTTGTGATATTTGCAAGTAATTCTTTTTTCTTTAATTTTTATGTTGAATTAGTGGGAAAAACTCTGAAGGGACTCGAACTTATGCTCCTATTTGAGAACGGAAACCACTTAACCAAGGAATCGTGAGAGAACCTTCGACTCTCTCAAAGACGGAAAACACGTTTTGTATTTTCCGGAAAATAGAGAATTGTATTTTGAGGGGAATTGTGTTTCTTTTCCGGAAGAAAAAAAAGTCTTTTATAGTTTCCGGAAAATATATTTACTCTGGGATTGTGTTTTCCGTAAATACAAATTTATTAAATTCTGTTTCCGGAAAATACATTAATTCTGGGAATTGTATTTCTTTTTCCGGAAAATAAACTCCTTTATATTTCCGGAATCTTTGCATCACACGGAAATTTACTATACTGTTTACTTACTGTTTTCCATTTCCCGGAAGTGTTGTTTCCCTTTTACTCTATTCCTTCCGGAAAAAATAAAATTTTATAAATGTGTTTTCCGGAAATTAGTATACTCACTCTTGGAATTGTATTTCTTTTCCGGAAAATAATTCTATATTGCTAAACAAATTTTGTATTTTCCGGAAGTGTTTTTCATTTTTCTTTTTAATAAGAAAATGTATTTTCTGAATCTAATTTTCTAATACATATTTTAGTCAAAGCATTAATGACAGCAATTCAACAGAAGAAGATACAAATAATAGTAGCAATATTCTTTTACTTGCTAATGGAAAAATAATACATGAAAAATGTACAGAAAACGGACAACCACCAACACAGATATTTCCAAAGTGTTATCCTGAAAGGATTTCTCTACTTTTAAAATTATAAAAGAATTTTTTTATTTTTTTTAAGAGTTTTATTTATTTTTAAATATTTTTTTGTTGTTTGTTTTTAAACGACACGCAATGAATTTCTTAATTGTTTCTTTCATTAATTACTTCACCTCCATTTTGACAAGGTGAAAAATTCTCTTTGTGACAAAGTGGAGGATTTTCTATTGTTTGGCTAAATGAGTTTATTTACTGTTTGATTAATTGTCACAAATTTTGATCAAATGAAAAATCTTTCACAATTCGACAAATTGAAATTCCTTTTATTTTTTAATTTCTCTTAGCTTCTTTATTTCTTTTCTCTCATTATTTCCCTCCTTCTTTTCCCTCATGTTAGTGTACTTACTAATAAAAATATCAATATATCGATCTGTGTTCACCTATACAAACATTGTGTCTTACACATCGACACTTTTCTCCATTTAAAATGAGCGAGTTTCTCAACATAACGGCTGATTTAACCATTTCATTTTTATTTTCTTTTTAATTTTTCTGTTTAGTTTCATGAGATAATGCTTTTTAATTTATATAAATTTAATTGAAAATAAAGTCATGTGTTTAAGCTTTAACACGTTTTTCTTTCGTTAAATTTTTTTGTTTTTATGTCATTTTGATTTAAAAATTTTCCTATTTTCAGACCAAATAAAATTCAAAAATTTGTGATAACTTTAATTTCATTTCAAAAAATGGTATCAGCTAGTGAAGCAGCTGAGGAATACAGGTTCTTTTTTGTTTATTAATTAACCTTAAATTTTTTTGTTTTTTAAGAGCAGTCCTTTCTGACCTGTCGAGGAATGACAAAACTCAAATTAATTTGCTTACAATTTTGGCAGAGGACTATGCTTCTTATTCTAGTGAAATTGTTGGAGTTATTGAAGAAACTCTCTACAAGGTCTGTTTAAATTTTGAATTGTTGTCAGGGCAATTCGTAATTTTCCTGGGCTTCCTTGACTTGTTTTCTTGTGCCTGTTTATCTCCGATAGAACGTCGTGTAATTCTAAGAACATCCTAAAGGACTTACTCGGCTTATAGGTATAAGACCGTTGATAACTTGATACTTCCCCAACAATTCTTGTACTTAAGGCTCTCTGACCATCAGCGGCTAATTCAATTTCTTATTTTTTCCAATTTTTAGTGTTCTGTTCCACTCAAAATTGTTATGTTATACGTGATTGATTCAATCGTAAAGAACGTTCAAATTACTGGAGGTTATCGTGAACTGTTTGCCAAGAAGATTGTTGACATGATTGTTCATGTATTCAAGGAGGTGGACATCTCTTGAGACAATTTTTTTATATTTTTTACACCATTTTTATTTTCTCACAATTCACTTCTCTCTTCTATTCTCTTAAAAGAATCTCTTAAAAATTCTATTCTCATGTTGACGTTAGATCTCGATTATTTTTAAAAATGAAAAAATTGCAGGCTTGAGATTTTGAATAAAATTGTGGGCCTGTGTAGGGATAATAATAATGTTTTAAAATTACGTTCAAGTGTATGGTTGAGCTTTTTTGTTTTAAAGCCAAACCCGTTTAGATTTTCTTGATAGCTTTTTAAAGAAGATCCAAAAGTTGTTTCTATCTTTACGCCCTTTTTTCTCTCTTTTCCGTCCCAAAAGTAAAAATCCAAAAGAAAATCTTTTTGGGGTAAAATTGTGTTTTTTGTAAGTTGAAATGCTTTATAAGGAAACGTGGAGTCAAACCCAATATATGTCCCAAGATGAATTCGAGCACACCTACTTAAATTTTAACCAAAGGAGCCTCTAATTGTTTTTATGAATGTTTTAAACGATGCTGGATTACCTTAAAAAGTTTCTCTTGGAGTTTTCTAAATTTTCTTTATCCTGTTTTTAAATTTTGTGTTTGATATTTCCTTCCCTTTTCTTTCCTTCCCGTGAAACCTTCCCTTTCCCGACTTTTGTAAATTTAACCAAAAGAAGCAACAACAAATTTCATACGTGTTGAGAAGAGAAATAATTCTCTTCGACGTTGCACAAAAATTCTTGATTTGAAAAACTTGACCTTGTATTTTTGGGACATTTTTGATGTCCACACTACCAGTTGCTGTCAGATTTGAAAAAGAATTTTTTGGGGTTTAAATGGTTAAGAAGGGGAAGGGTAGTTAAGAATGTGTTTTTAGGATAAAGTTATAAGGGGAATAATTGTGTATTGAAATATGAATTGAGATAACTTTGTTTTTCTTTTAAAAATTAAAGTTAAACAATTGCCTAACACCCTTTTACAAACGAATAAAAAAAGTTTTTTGTTTCGACTTCTTCAATAAAAAATTTTTATTTTATAAAGCGCGCACTTTCTTTTTTTCAAATTTCGTAGCTAACAAAAAATGAACTGCGTGACCACGCATTTTTCTGATATAAATTTTAAGTTTAACAAATTCGTAGTTGCACAAGGAATTTTTTAAAAATATTTTTGTTTATTCAAAATTAATTGCCAACAGCGCAAGATTAGCATTCTCAAGGATGTCCTGTCCGTCTCTGAACCTGCCCATCTCTAGACCACATTTCTCGAACGTGGTCACGCAACTCGTTTTTTCCAATTTTCAAATTAAAATTAAGAATTAAATTAAAAACCACTAAATTACAAAATTTACATTTTTTGTTTTACCATTGTAGGGAGACGAACGTACAAGAGCTTCAATTTACCGGCTGCGTTGCACCTGGGCTGACGTTTTCACAAAATCTAAACTTTACATGATCGACACAAAAATAAATTCTGTGGATAGGGCTTGGCCTATAATGAATCCAGATTTGAAGATTGAAGTGTCATCACAACAACAACAAACATCAGGACAACAACAACAAGGAGGGGGAGGGGGAGGACATGTAGTACATGTTAACCCTAAATTTCTCAATGGTAAACAACCAACAGGTGTTAAACAAGAAAATAAACAACAAGAAAAACAACCAGAAAAAATACAAGAAAAAAAGAAAATACAGCCTGACATTAATGGTTACAATAAAATTATTATTTTTATGTTGAGAGAAAAAATAAAAATATTTTTCGGAAATTTGTGGTTCGAAAATAAAAGATTAAATCGTTTAAGTTTAATAAATCAGTAAAAAATAGATTAATTTCCGGAAAGCTTAAAATTTTTCGGAACTGTAAAATAAATGGGGGGGGGGGGGTGTTTAATAAATATATATAACGTTTCCGGAAGACTAAAGTTTGCTTGGAATACAGAATTTCCGTAAAACTTTAAATTAATTCAAAATAAATTTTCGGAAAAGTACAAACATCGAACTTTAATGTTTTCCGGAAAACGATGTTTATTGAAATTAATTTGTTTTTTTCCGGAAACAAAATATTTTAAGTTTCCGGATAACCTTCAATATGCGTGTAACTTAAAAAATCATTTTCTCTTTTTTTAGCTAACAAAACAGTTACTAATCAAGTTGTAAAAACCGAAGAGGTTGATCCTGACAAAAATGTCCGTCAACGCAAAATTCCTAAAAAGGCGAAAGAAAACAATACAAGCACAACAAATACAGCAAATAAGACGACAACCACAACTAGTACAAAAACAATTAAAGAGAGTGGAGTTGTAAAATCCAAAGAAAACACTAATGTTAAGGTTTTTTTTAATTAAAATTTTTAAGCAAGAAAATCTTTCAGAAACCGGAGTCACTCCTCTCGTTGAAACTTGAATGTCCACCTCAACAACCTTCACAACAACAATCATCGCAACACAAAGGAGTAGGGCCTCCAACCAAGCGTCCTAGAACTACTACAACTGCTCAACATAGCAGCAGTAATGTTAGTAATAAATCAACTCGGCAGTCTGTCAAGCCTCAACAACCTCGAGTTTCTAAACAAAATGTTTGTAGTTTTTGAATTTATTTTTTGTATTTTAAACTTTTGTTTTTAAAAACTTCCGGAATTTTTAATTGTTTTTCGGTTAATTTCCAGTTTAGGAAAGGTTTTCCTTTGTTTTCCGGAATCGTTTAGATTCAATATTCGGTTCGGGGCAAAAGAAAATGCTCTCTTCCTTTCTCCATTTATAGGCACTCATTTCTGTCCACGAAATGAGATTCCCGTACAAGTCCCGTAAATTTTTTTCCTGAACATATTTTACAAAAAATTTTTAGGTTCCTGAACCTTCCCGGGCGCTGGGCGCACATGCATTCAACGTGGTTATGACTTCTCAACCCCAACCTACACCTTCATTACAACCACAAATTCCACCACAACAATTACAACAACCGCTTCAACAACCCCAACCCCAAATAGCACCACCACCCCAACTTCAACAATTTCCACCACCACAAATACCAACATCTTCCATTACTGACCAACAACCACAATTAGTAATGATTCCACAAGTTTCCAGTGCCCCTCCAACTAATTTGCAACAGCCGCCACCGTTTATCAAGGAAATTCCTCCACCTCAAATAACAACAATGAGTGGAATTCCGCAACATAACTTTCCTCCTCCTTCTATTCAAAGTAAATAAATATAATTTTGTTTTAAATCCAAATGCGAAATATTATATAAAATAGGGCGTAATAAATTCAAAAATTTTTCGGCCGTAGTGCTAAAAAATAAAAAAATACTTTTTCCGGATAGTTACACCTATAAAAAATATGCAGTCGCAACGCCAAAATTTTGCGCACACTAATTTAAGTTTACGAAAATTCCAAAAACTTATTATAAAATTGTTCAGGAAAATTTTAAAATTCAGGAATCTTTTAAGAAAATAGTATAGACGACAGACATTAAAATACTTAAAACTTTTCTGGAAACTTAAGTTAACTGATTAACTAAGGGAATATCTTAGTACAATCCATTACTTTTTCCGGATAGTTTATTGAAATACAAAAAACGTTTCCGGAAGCAATTAAATATTAAATATTTTAGATATTCAACATAACATCCAAAATGTTACCCCACGTCTACCTGGTGTTCCGGAAAACAATCGGATTTTTGTTGATGGAAAGGCTTATGAGGTAGTTTTTAACCAAAAAATCTTGTTTATTAATTTTTCCCTCAAAAAAGGTATTTTATCTCGACCAAATAGCAGTCATTGAACGGAATGGTCTTCCACACCGTGTTTCGTTTGCAGGTCCAGCTCGTAATGTAATAATTGATAAAACAGCATATTGTATGTCTTTTGGAGAGCCAATACAAGTTACAATTGATGACCAACTTCATATTTTACGTTTTGGCGGTCCTTCACGTGAACTTTATATGGGCAACTTCCCATTCAAAGGGGCATTTGGAGGTCCACCAATTAATGCAACTATTAATGGGAGGAGACATGAAATCCGTCTTTGTGGCCCTCCTCCAGAAGTTAGAATTGACCCAGAGCCGAGTTATGAATTAATGAGATATATGCCTGCAATTAGACAACAACAAATAATACCTCAACAAAAGCAAATACCTCAACAACCCAAAGTGGAAGCAAAGAAGGGTGGGAATAAAATTAATTTTAGTATATATTTTTTGAAAAATATTTGAACTAATACAGTTGAAATTGAATGAATTAAATATTAAAAATTTGTTGTAAACAAAAGTTCTGAAAATTTTTTCGGAAACTTAAGTTTGCAAATTAATCTATATTTTTAAATTTGTAGCAAATAATATATAAATCTTTCCGGAAAATAATATTAGATTTTTTTCCGGAAACTTAAGTTCAATATTATTTATGTAAGTTTAAAACAATATTAAATTTGTAAACTTAAGTTTCTGGAATGATTTATATTACTCTTCCGGAAACTTAAGTAGTCTTCCGGAATAGGTAGTATTTGCTATAAACTTGTAGCGATAATACAACCTGTAGCAAATAATACATACTATATCTTTCCGGAAAATAATATAAATTAATTTTTTTGGAAACTTAAGTTTGCGAATTATAATTTTAAACTAATTTGCAAACTTAAGCAATTATCTTAAAACTTGTAACAACCTTCAGAATAATGTAGAAATTATCTATAAATTTTTAATATTTCTTTTTTCTAGATCCAGTACTTGATGTTACCAGTCTACTCCAACGATTAAAAAATTCGGGTATTCTCTCCCAACTTAATCAAGTTGAACGAAAAAATCATGAAAGACAAGCGGCTATCGAAGCAAGAAATACAACTTTGGGTCGTTCAAATTCTCCTCCAGTGCCTTGTGCCCATCGTTTTGAACATTTGGAAAGGAGAGCAATGCCGATGGCTGGCTTTGATTTGTTTAGTATGCGTTCTTTGATTATGTAAGGAGGGGGGGGGGGAGGGAAAGGATTTTTTAAAATTAAATCTTTTTTAGTCGTTATGATTCAGTTATTGACTCAATTCACAAACAACGTCATTGCTGCCAAGATTGTGGTATTGGATTTAAAGACCTTTATGGTAAAGCATATGCAGACCATATGGATAAGCATATAGAAATGAAGAGTGCTAAATCTAAGCCAAGATCACAAACATGGTTTATGTTGGCTGTAAGTTTTTGTTTTTTGTGTATTTAATTTGAAGAAAAATTATTTCACTAAACACTATTATGTGCTAGTTTGGAAATAAATTTAAACAACTTTTTCGGAAAACTTAAATTTATAGTATAAATTAATTCCGGAAACTAACATAAAATTAAAAATTTGGATAAAATATATTTACATACAAATATACGACTTTTTTAAATTATTATTTTTAGGCTTGGTTCAAATATTCTGAATATGACGAAGTCAATACAATTAGTGTTTCAAGTAATCTTTGATTAAATTTTAATTTTTTTTTCATTTTAAAATATTTTTAAGAAGGCGATAAATCCCAACAAAGACAATCTTCTCCTGGTGGAACTAATGATTTAAACAGTAAAGATGCAACATCGTCATCCCAAGGTGGCCAACAACCCACAAATGATAATGCGGGTGGAGTTGATGCTGACTCTGTTGAAAATAAAGTTGGGGGAATATTTTATAAATTAAAAAAATAAAAATAATTTTAAAGGAATGTTGTGTATGTCATGAACGATTTGAAGAGTATTGGGTGGATGATGAGGATGTTTGGAGGCTTCGCGATTCTGTTGTTGTTGATGGAAAGGTAAGGGAATAAGCAACAGTTTCTTTTAAATTAATTTTAATTCTGATTTGAAAATTATTTTTGTATTTTTTGAAATAAAAATCAGAATTTTTGTATTTAATAAAAAATCAGAATTAAATAGTTAATACATTTATATAAAAATCAGAATTTGTATTTTTAACAAATTTCAGAATTTTTAATAAAAAATCAGAATTATATTTGATTTAATACACTTTAACAAAAAGCAGAATTTAATACAAATCAGAATTCTCTTTTTGAAATAAAAATTCTGATTTCAAATGAAAATCAGAATTTCCGGAAAACACAATTTAAAATATTTTTTTAAATTAAATTCTGATTAATTTCCAGGCTTTCCACACGTATTGCAGAGACGATGCAGCAGCAATGTCATCATCATTTGCAACAATTAATGATGACAAATGAAAAAAAAGTTTTATTTAAAAAAATTTTATTTAAAAAATTTATTTAATTATATACTCTTTTATTGTCAAAAAATGTTTTAGAAAATTGATATAATTTAAAAAAATAAAATTATTTTTTCTCTTTTTTGTCACTATTAAAATTATATTTTATTTTAATTTGTGTTGGTTGATGAATAAAATTTTTCTTTGGGTTTTCTATTTTTTTTTAAATTTGTTTTATTCTTTTTCTATTTTCCTGTTGATTTATTTTTTCCTTTTTGGCCACCACCAATTAATTTGAGCATTGGACTAGGGAAAGAAATGTTTTAAAAAATAAAATTAAATAGTTAAATATTACCAATATTGGTGTAAGTCGTTAATTCCAGATTTGACAGAGCATTCTATAGTTTGAAAATTTATATTTACAAATATAGTAGTTTATAAAAATTAAGAAAAATTGACAACTTTAATTGAAAACACAATTAGGAATTAAAAATCAGAATTTTTATTTAATTAAAACCAGAATTCTATTTTATTATAAACCAGAATTTTATTTTTAAATAAAAATTAGAATCAGAATTTTCCGGAAAATACACTTTTAAGAAGGAAATACTCTTTCCGGAAAATACACTTAAGAAGGAAATACACCTTCCGGAAAATACACATGTATTTTTTCTGATTTTTGTTGTATTTTCTCTGATTTTTAAATATTCTAAAAAAATATTTTTTAAAAATTACCACAAAGATCCCCCGATTCCTTTTTCCAGTCAATCATTTTTGTGCATCGTCTCAACGATTTTGTTGCTTTAGTGTCAAGAAGTAAAGGCTGACAACTTTAAATTTTTTTAAAGATTTTTTTAAAATTAAATTAAGAAACTCTTTTTTGTCAAAACAAAATTTATTTGGATTTTTTGCCAAAAAACAATCCTGAAATTATTTTCAAAAAATATTTTTTAATTAATTTATTTCCATACTTTTACACAAACACCAAATTCACTAGCAGTATTAATTATCTAAAATGCTAAAAATAAAAATTGGAAATTAAAAAAAAATAATTTTTAAAATATTTTTTAATTAAAAAAATAATTATTTTTACCTTCCTAATAGGCCCATCTAAAATTAAATTTATTTTTATTTTTTAATTAAAAATAGCTCCAAACCAGTTAAACTTTTTGTAAGTTGTTTTTGTGTCTTTTCTATTTTCTCTACTCCAAGTCGAAACAATTCTGTTATATTTACTTTTGGAATTTTTTTATCTTCAAAGTTGGGTAGGCAACTAAAAAAATTTTTTAATAGAAAATCAGAATTGTAAAAGGAAAATTAAATCAGAATTTTTGATACGAAATAATTTTTATAATCGGAATTTTGTAAGTAATTAAAAATTTCCGGAAAATACATAACTTAATAATTAAACACAATTTCCGGAAGAAATTATTTTTTTATAAATCAGTCTTCCGGAAACACATACAATGAAACACAATCAATTAAAAACAAAATTTCCGGAAAACACAATTTCTGAAATTCTGATTTCAAATTATACATAATTGTATGTGTTTTTCTAAAATATTTTAATTAAAATTTTTCCGGAAAACACATATAAGTATAATTAAAAATCAGAATTTCCCCCGAATACATAATTTCCGGAAAACACACAAATAATATTAATACCCCTAACACATAATTTCCAGAAGACAAATAATTCATAATTATAATGCAAAATTAAAACTAACGAATCCACATTGTCTTCAAAACATTTTATAAAATTTTCTAAAAATACATTTTTTTTAAATTAATTTTGTATTTTTCAATACCAATTATTGCATCAGCCCTACCAAAGCATACTCTCAATTTATCTGGGTGAACAGTAATTTTTGCTTAAATAATTTATAAATTAATTTTATTTTATTTAAATTAATTAATTACAAAACATATTCCAACAAGTATCAATACACCCCATTGCTTGTTCTTGCATTTCAACAATACATGCACGTTGTTCTTTATTTAAAAATAATTTTATAAAAAAATTATTTAATTAACCAGCACATGTACATTGTCTAATTTGCCCACCAACTATTTTTGCTTCTTCAATTAAAGCTGTACCTTGACGAGTCCACTAAAAAGAAGAATAAATGTGCTTCATGTTTTTTTTCGATAAATTCCCCAAAATTTAAATTTGTCTCACCTGGTCGATTACATCTTCGCTTGAGTGTTGGACGTAAATTATTAAAAAAAGGAAAAATACAAAAATTCGTTCCCAGCAGAGAACATTATAAAAATGAAGCAAGTTCATTTCTGCTAATTTTGGGATCTTTTAAATTAAAAAGTAAGGAAAAATAAAAAATAATTAAACAGAATTTATTCAATAAAAATTATTTTTCCAAAATTGGTTTGTTTATTATGTATTTATTTTTCCGGAAAAGTATATATGTATTTCTTTGTGTTTTCCGGAAAATATATAAATATTTATAAATCAGAATTTTTTGTATTTTCTGAAATACATTTAAAAATCAGAATTTCTTTTAATTTCCGGAACATTTATATCTGTGTTTTCTGTAATATTTTTAAAAATCCGAATTTCCTTCAATTTCAGAAAAATATAGTATAACCAGATTTATTTATGTTTTCCGGAATAACTTTAAAACCAAAGGAATTTATTTCCAACTACTATCAGAAAAGAAAGAAACAAACAAATAAAATGAGGGAAAATAAATTTATATTTTAAATAGGCAAAGTTTTAATTATTTTTTTTCATATTGTTTTTGTTATTTGGTTTGTCTTGATTGTACACATTAAAATTTTTTTTGCGCAGCAATGATTGTGGAGAAGAAAAAGATGAGAAGAGAAAAGGTGATTTAATGTTAAATTTTGGTATGTGCGAAGAAAATGACTGCGCAATTTTTATTTTGTGACAGTTTAAGAGGACGAGAAGAGGTGAAAAATAGAAAAAAGAAAGAAATTTTAGTTGTTGGGGGGAGCGGCCAAGCTCTCTCAAAAATTAAAATTGCAACTGAAATGTTGGAAAATGTTGTGTGGAATAAAAAAAAGAAAGGAGTAGAGGAAATTTTAAAATAAGAGAGTAATTAGAATTATTTTGTGTTTTCCGGAAAAAATCAGAATTTTTTGTGTTTTCTGTAATAATTTTAGAAATCAGAATTATTTGTACTAAATTCTGGAATGTGTTTTCCGTAATAATATATATTATATGCATTCCGGAATATATTATCCGGAATATGCAATAATATAAATGTTTGTGTTTTTCCGGAATATAATTATTCTGTGGTTTCTATTTGTTTCCGGAATATTAATAAAAATCAGAATTATTTCCGGAAAAAAGTACAATTGTATATTCAATTCCATGTGTTTTCCAGAATTTTATTAAAAACCGATAAAAATCAGAATAAATATTTTACTTGTTAATAAACTATTAAATTTAAAATCAGAATAAATTTAGGTATGTAGAATAAAATAATTTAAAGAAACAAATATTTTTTTAAACTAAACATAGTATTTAATTAAATAAACTAATTTATTGGTAAAAATTTTATTCAATCAATTTTGCTTTTTTTATTGCGCGTTCAGAGGTTCACGGGCAATTGCACAAGTGAACGGCAAATTTTTAAATTTATTATCATTAAGACAAATTATGAGGAAGAAAAATAAAATTTTAGTAAAAAATTAAAAAAAATATAAAAAAAATAATTTTTGTTTTTGCAATTATTTAACTTTATTTTTATTTTAAAAATAAAGATTAAAATTTAATTTCTTGAAAAATAAAAAAAATAAAAATTATTTTCTGCTAATTTTATTTTTGTTGCAAAAAAAGAATAAAAAATATATATAAAGTAAATATTATAAAACTAATTAATTTTGTAAAGCATATAGCTATTTAATTCCTAAGGCTGAGCAGTAGGCGGCGTGGTGTAATGGCTAACACATCAGTCCGGTCTACTGAAGATGCTGGTTCGCTCCCAGCCGCCGAATAACCTTTTGCACTAGCTAAAGGAGAGAAATAGCTATAGCCCAGCTGCTTTACTATTTTTAAATAAAAATCAGAATTAAAAATCAGAAGAAAATACATTATTGTTTTCCGGAAGTTTAAATTAAAATATGTTTTCCGGAAAAATTTTAATTTTAGCCTTCAAAGAACAGAATATATTTTTATAAAACACATTAATAAAATACAAATATTTTTTCTGAAAGTATGATTAAAATATTTGTGTGGGGGAGCGCAAAAATTGTTTATTTTTTGTATAATGCATAATAGAAGCAACAAATCCTATTGTTAAAATCCAAACATATTTGTGTAAAAATCTGTTAAATATTTTATTTTATTGTATTTTTATCTTTTTTGGACAAAACACAATTATGATTATCAGAATATTTAGAACAACAGAATATTTAATTAAAATCAGAATTTCTGGAAAATAGAAAAACCAGAATTTTTACATCAGAATCTCTGGAAAATAAAAACCAGAATTTTTAAATCAGAATTTTTTTTATTGAAAAAACACAAAAACCAGAATTTTTTCAGAATATTTATTTAAAATCAGAATTTCTGGAAAATAGAAAAACCAGAATTTTTTCAGAATATTTAATTAAAATCAGAATTTCTGGAAAATAAAGAAAACCAGAATTTTCTAAATCAGAATTTTTTTTTGAAAAAACATAAAAACCAGAATTTGGATTATTTAAATTTTAAAATAATTTGTAAATTGAAAATGTAATTTGTAAATACAAAATTATCAAAACATTTAAAGGAAAACACAAACTTTTATTTATTGCAAAATTTTCTCTTTCCTTCTAAAAAGGTAAAAGCGTTCAATTAACTAACAACTATATTTCCACCTTCCCCCAATTCCAGGCCTTAAAGAATAAATAAAAACAGGATTTTGAAAATAAAATTTCTTTTTGGATGACTGTTTTTTAAAGTCAATAAATATAGAAAAATTAATAAAAAAAATTTTTTTGCAACAAAAAATAAAAAAAAACAGGTTTTTAAAAGTACTTTTAGCTTATCAATTTATTTAATATTTTTTATCAACACAACAAAGTTTGTTAATATTATTTAGTTACTTTGTTGGTGGCCAAGTAGTTCATCAAATATAGACAAAAAATAGAACGCAACAAAAACTGTTTTTAGTTAATTAAATATTTAGTAGTTAATTGACTTGTCTTCTAAAAGTCTGCAAGTTTTATCCGCAAATTTTAATTTTATTTTGCCAAAAAATATTTTTAAAAAACTGTTGGAGAGTACTTATATACTAGGGATGTACCTCGACCGTGTTTAAAACCGAAAATTTTTATATTTTTTGTCAAAAATTAACCGTGAAACTTCTGAAAATGAGTGATTTTATTAAAAATTCCCTCAAAATAAAACTGGTATTTGTCTAAAACTCAAAATCAAACTAAATTTTGGATTAACCGAAAACTGGAGGTAACGGTTAATAACCGGTAGTGAACAACCTTAGTTTATACCGGGTGTAGAATAAATTGTATAACTTGTGGACTAAATGTACTTGCGGAGAGAGGGCATAAAATGAAAAAAATTCTAGAAAGTATGAATTAATCAAAATAATAATTTTAAATTTTATACAATTTTTCATTTAAATTTATTTCTTTTATTTAAAAAAAAATTAAAGTAAATTTTAAGTTAAAAATGGGATTTGATTGTAATTAAGGTGGCCAATTCCAAAACACCAAATGATGGCTCTCAATATAATATGAGGCGAAAAATTTAAAAAACGAGCTTCTATATGAAGCTGTGTTTCGGAGGCCAACTTAAACTTTTAATTAATTAATTAATTATATAATTTTTAATTTTAATGAGAATTTGGTGGCTGGGATAACATTGAATTTCCCCCTCCCAAATAATTTCTGTTAATATGTTGTTGCTGTTGTTGATGAAAAACATCCATAAAAGACAAATCTAATTGTTGTAGAGGCTGTTCTGATGACATTCTTAATTGTTGTTGACCTGGTGGAAGGCCTAGAAGACTTTCTACGTTGGCAGAGTCTAATCTTTGGCCTAGCATTGCAGCGATCTTTTTTTAAATTTTAAATAATTATTTTAAATATTTTTTGAATTGAAAGTTTTTTTAATTTTGAAAAGAAAATTTTTTAAATTTTTTCTTCAAAAAGCAAATAAATTTATTTAAAATTAAATAAAAAAATAACAACTTCATCCCCAACATCCATTGAAATGCTTTGTTGAAATTCGCTAGGCGACCATTGATTTGACATAGGTGAAGGACTGTCACTGGTAGAGCCTAGTTTGCTGCTTAAAATAAGTTAGGATAATAATAATAAAAATTATTTCAGAATTTTTTAAAATTTATGATAAATTCTGATAAAATAATCTGATAAACATTAAATGCAATTTAGGAATCTGATAAATTCTGATAAAATCTAAAATTTCTGATAAATTCTGATCAATTTCTGATTTTTTAAAAATAAATTTTGATTTTTTTAATTAACACAAAATACAAACAAACCTACCTAGACATAGTTTTAGCAACCATAACAATTTCAGAGCCAATATACCCCGCGGGGGACTCAAAAATTTTACAACGTTCTTCGGTATCAAAATGTGCAAGCATTTGTTCTTTATCAATATCTGGGTAGAGGTACGGCACCTCTTTAAGTTGGGGACATGACTGGATACGTGAAGCTAGTGATAATTGGTCTAGATCTTTTATTGTGAAAGGCGCAAGGTGAAAAGGAACTGAAAGAAATAATTTCTGTTATTATTTCAGAATTTGTATATTCTGATTTTTGATTTCCGGAAAATACAAAAGTATATTAATGATAAATTCCGGAACTATTAATTCAATATATCTGTTTCCGGAAAGAGATTTTAATAATAAAAATTCCGGAAAAGCTAGGTGAAAAGGATGTATTTTTGTAATTTCCGGAAAATACAAAGGTATATTAATGATAAATTCCGGAAATATTAATTACAGATACATTAATTCCGGAAAATACAAAAATCCGGAAGACTTTACAATTGTGTATATGCTTCCGGAAAGAGATTTTAATAATAAAGAATCCGGAAAACAATTATGCTTAATTCCGGAAAATACAAAAATATTATAGCTATAAAATTCCGGAAACTTTACAATTGTATTATCCAGAAAATATTGTTTATCCCTGAAAGAAATATCTAATATAAAACACATTCCGGAAACATCTAAAATACATTCTGATTTTACAACATATTTCCGGAAACTTTATAAGAGTATTTTCCTTGCCTTTAGCTCCATCCTCCTCACAAACAAAACCTAAAAAAATATTTTTTCCCAATTTATTAG